TATTTGACAGAGAGAGACACAGAGAGAGAGGGAACACAAGCAGGGGGAGTGGGAGAGGGAGAAGCAGGCTTCCCGCCGAGCAGGGAGCCCGATGCCTGAGCCAAAAGCAGACGCTTAATGACTGAGCCACCCAGGCGCCCCTCTTGTTAGGTATTTTAATAGCAACACAAAAACTAGGCTAATAGGCCTTAGGGGCACTAGCAGAAAGTCTGGGCATAATTCCTTGATTTTTCTAATTTTATTTTATTTTTCTAGTAATAAGTTTCCTAGAAATGTTCTTCTGTGTTTGAAGGCCTGAGAGCAACATCCTTGTTTGCGATTTTGTGTTCAGTCTCGACACATGCATACCCACTTGCCACGTGGCTGCACGTTTTCCAGTATGCCTAGTGTAGGGTATCAAAAAAGCCACTCCCAAGGTTCGGCCCTTCTCCATAACTGGACAAAATGTCTTACTTACACAGTGACAGTTTGACATCTCGCTTGTCATTGGAGACACGGTAGGCTCCATAGCCAGCCAAAAATCCAATAAAAAGACCAGCGATCAAAGATGGAACACCGCCTGGAAAAAAAAAAAAAAAAAAAGCACTCAGAAACAGAATCCCCAAATGAAAGGAATTCCTTCCATTCCTTCAAGTATGATACATGCACCTTCAAATGTACATCTACATGGGCACTGTAACTAGATAAAGCCAAATCACATATCAGCCTCTTCATGGACAGTTTCTAAGATATGACTGATCCCTGCTGAACCCGAAATGCCAGGCAGAGGAACCCTGAATACACAGCAATGCCAGGGTTAGATATGGCTTGAGTGAATAAGAAAGCCTGTCTGGTGGTAGTGGTTTGGACCTTGATTGCATGACCTTGGACAACCAGCTGACTTCTTTACACCTCTCTCTCTCTCTCTCTCTCTTTTTTTCCTTCTCCTTGCCTCCGTCTTTTTACTCTGAGGTTGTGATAATAAAAACAGGATGCACTGGTATTTAAGCTCACAGAGGTAGAAAGAGAAGTCCTGTGCAAAGCAAGTGATGGCTCTGTCCTGAGTAATTAACAAAGCTTCCAGCTTCCAGATAACAGGACTCAGGGATGAATGGTGACTGTACTGAGAAATGGGAAGAGCCAGGGCACTGATGCAGCCAGCCAGCCAGCCAGCCAGCCAGCCAGCGCACTCCCGGCCCCCAGCCCATTCATTCACTGCCCCAGGGCACGGTGACGATGCCAGGGACACGGTGCAAAAGACACACACACACAGTCGGTGCTTCGTGGAGCTCACTCTATTTAGAATCTATCAGCTTGGAATCCCTTGGGTAGGGTCAAGGCATCTCTGTTTTAAATATCTATAGGAAATTCAGATTGTAGCCAGGGTTAAAAACCATTGCAGCAACTCGTGCACACGCACAGATAGACACACACACACACACACACACACACAGCAGCAGCAGCAGCATCCTGAATGAGAGGCCACACGCAGTGGGTTCTAGTCCATTCTTCCATTTGTTGCCTGCAGGACTTTGGCTAGGGCACTTAGTCTCTCTGAGTTTTGTCGTTTGCAAAACAGAGTTAGTAATACCATCCATGTCAAATATATAAAGGCTTAGAATGTTACAATTGGAGATAATGTTAAATTCTTCATTGTTCCTCCCTCCCCCCAAATCTATTCTGCAAACACAGCAACATGGTCTTTTTAAAAGCATACATCTAGACAGGTCACTCCTCTAATTAAAAACCTTCAGTGCTTCCTACTGCACTTAGGGAAAAAGCCAAGTCTGCTCGATTATTGGAACCTTGGCCTTCTTTCAGTTCCGTGAATACGTCAAACTCTTTATTATTCATGGTTTCTAGACATGCTGTTCCCGGCTTGGACTGATCTTCCCTGCACTGTTCACCTGGCCAACTGCAGCTCACCTCCAGATCTCTCTGTAAGGGTCAGCTCCTCAGAGATGTCTTCTCTGACCCACCATTCTGAAACAGGGCCCCCATCAGAGCCTCCCACAATTCGCCATCATATATTTGTACACCTGTCCATATATTTACGGTCAGCCCCCTGACTTGCTTTTGAGCACCGTCTCTTTTTGCTCACTGCTGTTTTCCAGGACCTGCCAGGGTGCTGGGTACTTGGCAGCACTCGATAAACATTGACAAAATGCATGCCCGGGCACTCCCTGTTATGGATCATGTTTAAGCAGAAGACAGCAGATTAAGAAAATAGTTAAGGGGATTTAAGCATTTTCTGGAATGCATGACTTAATTAAGGTGTCTTCTCACTTAGAGATCTCTGACTCTTTTCTGTACACCCTGATGATTTCTGCACTGCTAGGATCCTCCCCACCTTAAGTATATGGAGGGAGGGACAGCATCTGCACCTGAGTCTTGGCGAGATCAGACAGCAAACAGTGGGGACGGGCAGGCACACCAGCAGCCCACATGAATGAGAGGTGGGAAGGCTCCCTGGGAGAGCCCATCCTGCGTGAGGAAGGAGCTGGGACCGTGGGCTCTACCTCGTAAGAAAGTCATGGCTGGTGGAAGGGAGCCAGATCCTGCAAAAAAGCTCAGTCTATGGTGGGGCTACAAAAAAAAAAAAAGAAGCTCCAAGCTCTGACCCCCCCCCCCTTCCTCCAAGTGCCAACGTGGCTAGGGCAGTCTCAAGGAGTTTTCAAAGGAGTTGAAAGGTGCACATGGGGGTGCACCCCTTCCTCAGAGCATGACACCTGCCTGACAAGCTCTCCTGCTCCCCTCCTCTCCCGAGGGGCTGCTATGCCCTGACCTTGAACTGGAGTAGGAAGGTACGAGGTCAGGTTCAGCCCCAGTGCAGAAGAAGGCCAAGTGAGCTTTCTGCCCATCTTTGGCTTTGGGCACTGGCTACCTGGCTCAGAAAAAGCCTCAAAATCATAGTGTCTTATTGGTTATGCACTTTTCTGGGGACCTATGTGGGAGGGGGGGGAGCTCAGAACTTGGTGCTCAGCATCCTGCCGCTGTGCTGTCACTCTCCTCTTTCTCTGCTCCCGGCAAGAGAAGAAATCTACCAGCCCCTCACTCTGACCCAACCCAAGCCCAGCTCCTGGTCTAGTGTAGGATTCCAATATACTTGTCCTCTTACGAAACACCACTCTGACGTCACATCTTTAACCTACCCAGCACTGTTCTCAGTAACTCTCCCGTGGAAGGGTCTCCTGGCCGAACTATAAGGGATTCATGTCTAGGGAAGCTTTAAGTAAAAACAGAAAGAGTTGATTCACTTTACACAACAGCTCTAAGATGCTGGGGCCACAAGCAGCTTAAAACATAATACAGAATACAAAACTAGAAAAAAGTATTTTGCCCCACTGGCCCACACACTCTCCCACTGGCAGGGAGTAGCAGTAGAAACAAGAATATTAAACCCTTCTTCTGGCCAGGCACTATGTGAAATGTGTTACGTGCATTATTCTTATTTAATCCTAACTGATAAATATACAAATGAGGACGTGAAGCCCAGAAGTTAAACAACTCACATGAGTATCCGAGCTAGTAAGGAGAGTGTCATGAGCAGAATTTAGGAAAGCCTGATTCTGTGGCCTGTGCTCTTACCTACATTATACAAGAGGGGGCTTTTTTGGGAACACATGCCCCCAGGGGCTTCCAGGATCACTTAGTTGGGGGCTCCTGTCGGAGGCCAAGGAACCATATTGTGCAGCTGAGCCACATGCACCTGATATCAGGGACCTTACAGAGAATGTGATTGCATTTGTTCCTGAAGAGATCTGGGTTAGAATTGTAAAGTAATCCTTGCCTCTCCTCCCCTCCCCCACCCCCAGCCGCCCCAACACACACACACACACGCACGCACGCACGCACGCACCCATGAGCGCGCTTCCTTCTTCCCACTCCTCTAACACGCAGGCAAAAAGGTCCAGAGGTGCTTTTTCTGTTCTGTCACAAAAGTTATTTAGACACATCTTTGACAATGAAAAAGTGTTTCAATAACAATCCTATCAGAATTTTAAACTAAGCCCTCTTCAAAGTAGATTATAAAACATCAGTAGTGGTTTATAGGTCTTTGGTGCCATCATTTTTCCACTGAATACATATCGAGGATGCTACACACATTGAGAGAGAACATAAGAGCAACAAACAAAAGTCTAAGTAAATTAGAGGTTCCCAGGAATCTTAGAAAATACTCTATTTTTTTTTTAATTTTTTTTTAAGATTTTATTCATTTGACAGAGAGATATAGCGAGAGAGGGAACACATGCAGGGGGAGTGGGAGAGGGAGAAGCAGGCTTCCCACTGAGCAGGGAGCCTGATGTGGGGCTAGATCCCGGGATGCTGGGATCATGACCTGAGCTGAAGGCAGACGCTTAACGACAGAGCCACCCAAGTGCCCCAGAAAATACTCTATTTTAACCTGCCACCCCTCAATCCCTACACAGACCTGTGCTTCTGGCCTTGGACTTCTTAGCAACTGTTTAATAATAACTCTAATAACTATGTAGACCTGGCTTTTTCACTCAAGGTGAAGCCCACCAATGTCACAAATAGAACCTCTCATTTTTTTCCATGAAAACTTATCAGCTGGGTTTTTTTTTTCTTTCCTCTTTTGGATACAGATGAAGAGACAACCTCAGATAGGATATCTAAGTATTTAACAAATTTTCCTTTGCAAAACACAGTATCAACATAATTCAAGTTTTGATACTAAGAGTATGTAAACAAACAAAAATCCTCACTTGATAATAAGCGAGTAGCCCTGAGGAGGTTAAGTCAATTAATTATGCAATTGATAATGACCCGTGAAGAGAGACCCAGACAGCTGGGTTGGAATGCTCTGCCACACCCAGCCCCCCTGCCCTCTTCGACTCCCTTCCACGCACGACATGCTGGTCCTCAGCCACCTCTAGGACATCTTCAGCTTCTTGTCTTATTTACAAACCCTCAGATAATCTTAGCACAACCACCAATCCCCCACCAAGTCCCTTGGATGAAAAATACCATTAAGGCTTACCTCTCCGCTTATATCCCAAGATGCTTCCAAATGTCACAAGGGCCGCATAACCGAAACCAATCAGGTCCATTGGCAAGGTTGCAATTCTACTGCTGGGGGAAGGGATAAGTTTTACAAAATTAAAAAAACTGGGGGGAGCATAGGTAATATAAAAATGATACGCATTCCACAGAATTACAGAGATTAATTTCTCTAGTCTACAAAAAAAAAGGAAAGCTCAGCCAGAGATATCCATGCTTCATCAATGGTGAATCACTGAAGAATATAATGAAGCCCCTTGCACAAAACTATGTGAGTGATGAGAGCATCCTACGGTGCCTCATAGCAGCAGTTGAGACATAGACCTAGGGCTGAGAAGTTTCATTATAATCCTACCCGGGAATCTAGAAGATGTAGGAGAAAGTGTGCTGGCTACAAGCTGGAGACATGGGCACAGGTCACTAGCTGGCTGTTGGGCTTTGGACCACGCCCCATCCCTGCCGTCGATGCCCCCCAAAATGAGGAGAGTAGATGAGATGAGCCCTTAGGTTCCTTGCAGCTTTTTAATTCTTTTAATTTCGGATTCCCAGTGGCGCTTTTATATCTTACCTCTTTTACTCTATTTCCTCCATGGGGAAAATATCTTTGTATATACGAGGAATAGCATATAAGGTTTTGTTGTTGTTGTTGTTTTTATAGATTGCATTTATTTATTTGAGAGAGAGCACAAGCAGGGGGAGGGGCAGAGGCAGAGGGAGAAGCAGGCTCCCCGCTGAGCAGGGAGCCCGACGAGGGACTCGATCCCAGGACTCTGGGATCAGGACCTGAGCCGAAGGCAGATGCTGAACCGAGTGAGCCACCCAGGCGCACCTCACATGAGGTTTCTTTGTAGTTTTACAGTGTTCTCGCTGCTCATCTTTTAGGTTAACCTAGTCTTTGATCCTCTGCACAAACTGGTAACAACCTGACCCAGAAGAACAGAAAAGGAGTGTTGAGCTGATCTCAGAGAGGAAGCCAAAAGTTATGGGGGGGGGCGAGGGGAGGGAATCCGAGGCCCAAGAGATGACAGCACTGCTTGGGAGGCACTAGTGAAAAATCCTCAACCTCCAAGGGAAGAAGAATTAAAAGAGGAGAACTCGTCTGTGTCCACAGAGTGGTGCTGCAGGACGGAACCCACAGGAAGGACGTGTGCTCAAAAACCACTGCGGACTGCCAGGTGGATAAACACACAATAATAACGGGGATGAGGATGTCTGCGAGCAATTACCATGTGCTAGGCACTCTTCTAAAGCCTTACATTGGCTTGTTTAATTATTACCGCAACCTTCTGAGGTAAGCCCGATCGTTATTACCCCCCGCTTTCCAGATGAAACGACTGAGGCACAGAAAGGGCCAGCAATACCCCCGAGGCCATGCAACAGAACCAAGTTTCAGACTGAGAGAAGTCTCATTCCTAACCACTAGCAATCATACCTCTGATAACTGAGTCAGCGGTCGGAAAAAAAATGAATATGCAGATAAAACTAATGCCCTTCAGATCTGTAAAGTTCTGGCTCAGTCCCTTCTGTTGGTCTCACAGCTTCAAGTTGCGACCACACTGCATCTGGTGACTTTCCATCTTCAGCCCTGTCAGCTTCTCGTGGTCCGTCCTACCTACTGCCTTTCCCTAAGAGTTAATCGAATTCCACAATGTAGGCTTGGCTCCAAACCTGATACCACGAGTTACTAGCTATGTGACATTGCGCATGTTCCTTAATCTCTCTGCAACCCCGTCTCTCCATCTGTAAAATACGGGTAACAGGGGCGCCTGGGTGGCTCAGTTAGTTGAGCGATGGCCTTCGGCTCAGGTCATGATCCTGGAGTCCCGGGATCGAGTCCCGGGATCGAGTCCCGCATCAGGCTCCCTGCTCGGCAGGGAGTCTGCTTCTCTCTCTGACCCTCCTCCCTCTCATGCTCTCTGTCTCTCATTCTCTCTCTCGCAAATAAATAAAATCTTAAAAAAAAAAAAATACGGATAACAAAATTACCTCGCAGAGCTGTGATGATTAAATGAGGTAATACTGAAAAGTGCTTAAAACAGTGCCTGCACATACTGAGCACCCGACAAATACTAGCTGCTTTAATAATGGCTGTTCTTCTCTTGCACCCTTACACCCATTTTTAAGCTTGACATGTGTGAGGCCATAACTATACCAGCTCACTGAGAAAACAATAGAGATGGGGTGACTTTATGACTCAGGCATTTGATGAATCAAACCATAATGTTACAGCTTATGCTCAACTCCACTTAACAACTATTTATTGAACGTCTTCTTTGTGCAAGGCAGTAGGAAGCCACGGAAAGCCCTTGGACTTGGCTCTGGCCTTCCAGCACAGCACAGCACAGCACAGCAGAGGAGGCAGATGTGTGGTGAGCCCTACGAGGAGATGCATGGGCCCCATATCAAGAGGAGGTGCCTCAGGGGACTTGGGAGCCTAAGGAAGGATTCCTACAGCAAACGGAGCCCCAGCTGGGATCTTGGGGAGAGGAGGAGTAAGCCGAGTGAAGAGGGTGGCAAGGAAGGGTGTGCTCTAGGCAGCAGAGAGAATGTGTGCAAAAGCCTAGTGGCATGAGAAAGCATGGCATGTTTTCAAAATGAACAGGAGTGCAGGGGGGCTGGGAAGAGAGGGGTCTGGGGAAAAAGACAGGGCCAGGACGCTTGTGAGTGCTGTAGAGGGAGGCTGGGTTCTGTCTCAAGGGCAGTAGGGATGAACGAAGGGAGTCTCACAACCAGATTTAATTCTAGCAAGTGCTTCCTCGAAGCGGTAGTGGAACATGGGACATGGGACGAAGTGAAGAGGAGGCTGAGCTAAGCAAGAGATGGTGGTGGCCTGGCCTGGAGCAATGGCAAGGAGGGTGGGTCAGCTCTCAGAGAGGTTTGTGAATAGAATCAATAGCCTGGATGTGGGGAATGCGGGGGAGGGATGAGTCGGAGATGACTCACGTCTAGGTCTCTGGCTTGGACCACTAGGAAGGAGAGGTGGGAGGAAGAGAGGCCTTGATGCTAGTCTCCGAGACAGGGAGCACTGCACCAGCAGTAGGCAAGCGGTGGCAGGAGGAGGGAGGAATCCAGGAATGGTGGGATCTATCTGAGACACAGTCTAAGATGCTGACACAGTGAGGAAGACACCTTTACACACACATCTGAAGCTTATGAGAGATCACTCATCATCAGGTAATAATTTGGGGATCTAATTTTCTCCTTATGCCGACCACCTGATGTAAAAGGACGATTCTTTTCCCTCCTCTGAGCTCCCAGTCTTCTTCTGACCCTCTCTCGGGGCTGCACCTCCTTCTACCTAGTATAGAGTTACTTAGGTTGAGCTCCCCTCCCTATCTCCCCTCCCAGCCAAGCTCCTCCAGGGCTAAGCTCAAGTTCAGTTCATCTTTATCCTCCCCACATCACCAAGCTCACGGCCACGCACAAGGCAGAGTGTGTAGAAAATACTTGCTGAATGAACCAAAGGAACAACTTCTGCCCAAGGAAGACATTTTGTAACTGACCAACCCCTGAGTCTAGCTCTATTGCCAGGAAACAGCCTGTTCCCTTAATCTCCTTACTGAACGGAGTATTCTAAGGAGGCAAAACACATCTATTCCCAATCCTTGCAAGAAGTTTCTGAGCTCACAGAGAAAATGCAGACAAAAAGCAATCACCCCTCTTGCTCCATTTCCATGGCAGGACCATATGACCAGAACCACAAAGGAAAGCGATGGAAGTGGGAGCCGATGTGCGCCTTGCATCACATGCTCTCATAGCAAACGCTACCTCAGTACTTGGAGAGGCCAGAAAGCATCTTGGGTGCAATGCAGCAAAATGATTTACTGCACCGCGTACGAAACCAGGTGACAGGGCCCTGCCTTGCCCCTAGCCCTCCAAAATTTGGGGTACCCACTAAGAGATCTTCCGTAAGCTACTATATAAAAAGCTACCTACCTTTGCACCCCTTGGGGCTCGAAAGACCATTTTCGAGTGAAGTCTGGGTGGTACTAGGAAGGTTAAAACTGCCAAGCGTTTTTGCCATGGTCCGAGAACCCCATCCCTTCCCCGCCTCTCCCTAGCTCCAGGAAGGTAGGAAGGAGAACAGGTGGGAGATTCAGGGCCGCGGAAGGAGGACATTCGGGGAATTCCCAGGAGGTGGAGAGAAGCGACGCTTGGGAGAAGCAGCCCCCATCCCCTGCAAAATCCTCCCCAGGTCCTCAGCATCTGCTCGTATCTGTGCCTTCACAAGAAAATTCAGGAGAGGAAGTTCTCGACTGCGAGGTGTACAGCTCACCTGCAGCCCCGAGCCCTCCCCGCGGCTCAAAGGAGACAAATCGGGAGCCAGCCTCCCGCCAACTTCGTACCTGGTATCGGGAAGCGATCCCGGCGGCCAGCGCTCCCGATTCTGCGCGGTACCTCGCGGCGCTGGGCAGGGCCTGCCGGTTCCGGGCGGTGCCTTCCCCGCGGCGCGTAAGCGCCACGGCCCGCCCTGCCGCCTCTGCTGGGCGTGTCCCGCACAGGCTCCAGAACCGGAAGCTCCAAACCGCTGGCTCCTTCTGCCGGGCTTTCGGCGCCGGCTCTGCACCCGGACTGCGGTCCGCTGCCTCCTGCCGGACGGGGCGGGACTGAGAAGCATCCGCCGAGAGTGGGTCTGGGTGTAGCCGGGATCCCAGAAGGCGGAGTTTTAACCGTGAGGTTCATTCTTCACTCAAGGGACATTTGTGCGACCTCAACAGCAACCCGGGCCTTTTAGATTCTCGCCAGCAGATTACCCCCATTTTCAGTGGGGGGAGCTAAGGTTCAGACAGGTGAACTGATTTACTCGTCCACGGTCTCAGCTCCTAAGTGGGGTACAAAGGATAGAGCCCAAGTTTGTCTGGTTTCAAAGTCGGAGCTCCCTTCATTATATCACACTGGCTAGCAGGTCCTGGAGATGTGGAGGGGAGATCAGGATCCCGGTTTTATACTTCATGCCCAGGATTTGCTGGGTTTAAGTATGTGAGGGGAAAGGTATAGACTGACAGACTTGAAACGCACTTTAAGTCATGTCTAGTCCCGGGATAATCCGATCCCAGGAATGAACCTTAAGTGGATTTGGAATTGTGCCTCCTGGCAACAACTTAGGCCAGTTTTGCCTTCTAAACCGCATACTGTTAGCGCCAACCGGACCCTCTTCCTTCTAGGACAAGTCCTTCAGAGATTTGAAGAAGGCGGTCATGTAGGAGTCATCAAGCAGCTCTAGGAGTGTTGCTGGGCTATGAATAATAGCAGAGTTTCTTAATATTAAAGAAAAAAACCCTAAGAATATACAGTAAACCTTGTGAAGATTTGTTTGCTGAACCTATTCCTTGTGCATGAAAGTGCTTCAGGGAAGTAACGTGACTATCTCACTTATGTGAAGTCTAAGTTGGTCCCAGGGAGTTGATAGGATTGCTGAAGGTTCCCAGGAGAGTTGATGGCAGGCACTGGAATGTGGAGTGGGGGAAGTTTGGCTCCAAGCCCCAGCTCTCCTTTCATTTCTTTTTTTCCTAAATTTAAATTCAATTTAATTAACATATAGTGTATTACTAGTTTCAGAGGTAGAATTTAGTGATTCATCAGTTGCATATAACACCTAGTGCTCATTCCATCAAGTGCCCTCCTTAATGCCCATCACCCTGTTACCCCATCCCCCCATCAACCTCCCCTCCAGCAACCCTCAGTTTGTTTCCTAGAGTTAAGAGTTGTCTTATGGTTTGCCTCCTTCTCTGTTTTCGTCTTATTTTATTTTTCCTTCCCTTCCCCTATGTTCATCTGTTTTGTTTCTTAAATTCTACGTAGGAGTGAAATCATATGATATTTGTCTTTCTCTGACTGATTTTGCTTAGCATAATACCATCTGGTTTCATCCACGTGGTTGCAAATGGCAAGATTTTGTTCTTTTTGATGACTAATATTCCACTGTGTGTGTGTGTGTATACACACAATTGTATATACAGTATATACAATATTGTATATAATGTATATAACATATATATACATACACATATATATGTCTCACATCTTCTTTATCCATTCATCTGTCAATGGACACCTAGGCTCTGTCCATATTTTGGCTATTGTGGACATTGCTGCTATAAACATTGGGGGTGCATGTGCCCCTTTGAGTCAGTATGTTTGTATCCTTATACAATAATAGGCAGCTCTCCTTTCCATCCCCTTCTATGCCCATCCTTACCCTATCCTCCCCCCACCCTCTCTCTCCAGACTCCCAGGACTTTCCCTATCTGGAATAAAACTAAAAACCCTCTTGGAATGCCTCCGTATCTTTACCTGGTATGACCTCCAGTAAATAACTTGCCCCTGACCTCAGACTTCAGTGCCCGGATTTATAAGGTGCTGCTCAGACTAGGTGCTCTGAGAGATCCCTTCCACCCTGTCACTGAGGTATTAGAAGCTGGAAACAGTCCCATGATATTCCTACTTGAGGCATTTTCACCTAAACCTAAAAGAACAACTCTCTATGATGGGAAATTCCATATTCTTGGACATGTGGGTTCACAAAGGTTCTTAGGCAAAGGGGCCACTGTCCTCTCAACTCATACGGCAGCTAATGATAAAGTTAGAGCACAAGGCGAGGGTGCCACAAAGCATATTCATCTCTACCTATTTGTCAAGCTGTCTATTCATGATCCACGGCAGAGACAGATGGCCCTCTGATGTGCCATCAATCCCCTTTGGCAGTCTGGAAAAACACACAATAAAAAATATAGGATTGTCAAGGAAGCCAATTTTACTGAAATACAGTTGTCAAATTATTAAAAATTTAAATCTGTGGTCTAATAGATGTGCTTCCTTATTACATTACAAGATCTCAGAGTGGGAATAATAATGACCATAATTCCCAAGTAGTGCTGCACCTAAACAATATTTTGAGGTATCTGGAACATGCAAGCATCTGTGACTCCTGGTGATGACAGTCACAGGTACTAATACTGTGGTGGTTTGTTGCCTATGAAAGAAATGCTAGACTATAGCTAGAGGTTCATGAAGATAGAAATTTCTTTTCTCCATCCATGTTCTCAGATTTCCCGATTTCCATCCTCAAGCCCCTTTGGATTTGCAGAACTCCCAATGTATAGTAATACAGGCTTTCATAAGTTGTGTATGGGTGGACCTGGAGAAGAGGAGAGCACAGTTGAGAGGCTGACTGGCTGCTCAGGCAGGACCTCACAGGATGTTTACCCCTCAGTGAGTGCTCTGTGGATCCTGAGCCTAATCCTCGTTTTCAAACAATGTTCTAAAACTCAGTCTGTATCAGCTCTTCCACTGGCATGGAAGTCAATTTCAAATCCCATTTTTCAAGTCAAAGGACCTAAGAACTAGAGGAAACTTTTTTTTTTTTAAGATTTATTTATTTATTTATTTGACAGAGAGAGACACAGCGTGAGAGGGAACACAAGCAGGGGGAGTGGGAGAGGGAGAAGCAGGCTTCCTGCCGAGCAGAGAGCCCGATGCGGGGCTCAGTCCCAGGACCCTGGGATCATGACCTGAGCCGAAGGCAGACGCTTAACGACTGAGCCACCCAGGCACCCCAAGAGGAAACATTTTTTTGTTGCCATGGTTCAGTGCATAGATTGTAGAAAGCATGATGGTTGGTGAGAAAGGACAAAATCAGCTCTACACTGTAAGGGGCCAACACCTCTGCTATCAATGTTTCTCCTTTGCTCGCCCACAGGATATTTTAGTTGCAACCCCTAAGTCAGGAAAAATAACTTACTCAGTTTCATAGAGCAATCAAGGGAGCCATAGGATGATGCATGTTGGTTTGTGTAGTATCCCCAAGCTAATTCAACAGCTGCTATTTTTGACTGAACTGATATCTTCTTGGGGAATAAAAACACTTTTGATGGGTTTAGAGTCACTTGCCTGTCTCATTCTGGACTGGTGAGATTCAGTCTCCGTATGTGTTTGCACATCCCCTTCTCCACCATGCCTGATCCCAAATTCTTTTCTGCACATTGCGCAGTATGCTCTGTTTTGGTTATTTACCTCCCTGATCCAGTTCCAGGTCTCCTTCCATTTGTCACTAAAATAATATGGTCCACTTAGTCTTTTTTGGTGATGGGATCATGCTTGTGTTGGTATTATAATTGTTCTCATTTTCATTAACTTCTTAGAAAACAATATTCACAAGTTTAAAAATTTAAACTAGCCTATCCTTATACACATCACAACAGTTCATCCTCAGGGAAAGTCAAGGACAGACTGATTACGACACACCGAAGTCACTCTCCGTCATGCAACCGTGGATGGGTCAACCATTAGTGTCCACTGCAAACTGTGGTTGACAACATCAGTGGTTGGGGGGAAAGTGGGCAACAGCAACTACAGAAGGTGCATCATCTCTGCCATATCCATTTGACACTTAAGACAGTGTTGCTCTCAGCCCCTCTTTTTGGGTCGCTCTATGGGCTTTGGATTTTTCTTCCAGTCTTCCACACTCATTGCCCAAACCAGGACCTTTCATACTCCAGGAAAGGTTTCCCAGAACATGATACTTTCAATGTTAAATCGGGATGATTGGTTACCTTACTGGGTTCTCAGTAATCCAAAGGCTAGCTCTCCAGAGGCAGGAAGGCAGGCACATGGAGCCAGAGACTCCTCACCTTGCTTCCACTGATGGCGTGGAACTTCTCTAGAATATTTCTCACAGGTTTCTCTTCTTTAAAGGTGATGAAAACAGAACGTTGTCTTTTGTTGGACTCTGGATCCAATGAAAACTGATGGCCTAGGGGTGCTTGGATGGCTCAGTTGGTTAAGCATCCAACTCTTGGTTTCGGCTCAGGTTGTGATCTTGTGGGTCCTGAGATGGAATCCTGCATTGGGCCCTGTGCTCTGTGGGGAGTCTGCTTGAGGATTCTCTCCCTTTGCCTGCCCCTCCTCTCTAAAATAAATAAGTATATTTTTAAAAATCCCTAAAAAAAAAACCACACACACACAAAACTCATCGGCCTTGATCTGGAAACACAGGCAAAGCTCAGGGCTGGTACCTCCTCTGACTCAGGACCGAAAGGGAACTCACAGGAGAGAAGACACCCAAATGCCAGGGGAGGAGAAAGAAGCCCTGCTGAGGAGAACTCCAGCCAGCCAAGGAAGGAAAGAAGGAAGGAAGGAAAAAAGCAGCCACAGGTGGTTGGTGGGGAGCATAAACCACATTTTGGGGAGATACTCATTTCCTGAAACTTGTCAAAGTACTCCCTATCCTCTTCCCTGTAGCTTCGGGGTTCAGACTCCCCACAAAGATTTTCTTCATAAGATCCTTCTTCACAACCATGGCACTTTTGGAGTTCATGCGATGGCCATCCATTCATTGTCTGGGTCTGGGACCTATTCCCACACAGG